ACTAGACTAACATACTACATAAACACTTAAACTGGTCTAACATACTACGTAAACTCTTAAACTAGTCTAACATACTACATAAACACATAAACTGGTCTAACACACACATACACACACACACATACACACAGTTTGCATAGGAAAGGGTTAAAGCTTAACCCTTTAAAGAGATGAGAAATAAGAACATGAAGTTATTGAACCATTTGCATATTCAGCAGATTTACACCTGAGGGAAACATCAGATTCTTAGTTCAAACACACCTTTGTAAAAAGGTGAAAATGATACCTAATGTATCAATTAATAAGACTAAATTTGAATACTTGCAAGTCTCGTCTGTCTGAAAGAAAGGCTTGATGCAATCTGAAAGTCCCAGTGATCTTTGCTGAAGTTGGTTGATGAAAAAGAAACAATTTGAGTCAGAGAATCTTGTTGAATGGAGAAGACAAGGCTGAAGGCCTGGCACACAAAACTTAGGAAGTCCTGGAGCGTTGGAGCTCACATCTTATCAAAACCTAACAGAGCCACCGACCTCTGGGCGGGTCCCTGGAGCGGGGCCTTTAAGGTCTCGGAAGAGTCACGCCTCTCAAGGTGAGCTTGTCCAATGAGAAAGGCAGAAATTCCAAGTGGGAGGTTGCAATTGGTGGAGGGTTTTACGACCCTTTGTTTGAGGGCATGGTTATTTGCAAATGTAATTCACTTGGGGTGTGGATGCACAAACTAATAAAGATTCTTAGAACACTAATATGTTGCATAGGCATAAACATACAATATACACTCTCAATTAGATCATCCGAATACTAATTCATAGATACTAAACATGGTAGGGTTATATATATATGTAAGCTGACAGGAGTGAGTGTTTCGATCATAAGCCTGCATAAAACAGTATACAATCTCAAAGACAAAATACACGATGACAATAATATACACAATGACCTGAAGGATACACTGTTCATTCAAAGAAAGGTTTTCCTATTAATTAATTAGTAGAAAAGTCAATTTCTACTGTGCATTGTGCCTCTTGCTATGGAAAATGTAGTGAGAGTCTCTCTGCTCATATTCCTCTGGGCAATAAACCCAGTGATATCCGCATTGGTTGCCATGGAACCAGGGGCCTGTTCGGCTTCCTGGGGTGTTACGCATTTCGAGGGGAAGGGTCCATAGGTCCTCATATGGCTTGTTAACTGAGGGGTGTTACAGAGTATTTGTTAAATCTAGCTAACAAAATATATATTGTGTGTTTGATTGGTCCAGACACTACA